TGTTGTTGTCATGTGTCGTTGTGTTGTTGTGTTGTTGTCATGTGTTGTTGTCATGTGTCGTTGTGTTGTTATGTTGTTGTCATGTGTTGCGACTTGTGAAGCGTTCACATTATTGTGATCCTGTTGCCTCTTCTAAATTCTTCCGTATGTTTTTCAGCTTCTTTCTCGTTCACCAGTTTTTGTGCTATTTCAACAAATCATGAATCAAAACGTTCGGCTCTTTCAGGACAATCCTGCTATGACTTTGGTATTGGGGCAACTTTAGCTTTTTTTAATATTTAGCCTTTTCTGACTTTTTTTTCCTCATTGAAAATGAATTGAGCTCATTTTACATCCTTCACATCTTTAGATCTGTTTACGTTTTACTGCTTCTTTCACATTTTGTTCTGGTTCAGCTTCTTCAACTTCCTTGTACAAATTTAAAGTTTTTCAGCTACTTTCTTCAGCTGTTTTGTGCTACGTTCAGATTCTTTCTGCTAACTACAACATTGTTGTGCTTCTTCTAATATCTTTCTGCTCATTTCAGCTCGTTATGCTCCTTTAAGCTTATTTCTGCAAGTTTTAGCTTTTTTGTTGCTAATTTTAGCTTTTTTAATTAATCCCACATTTGTTGCACCCATGTCAACTTTTTTCAGCCTAATTCAGCAAAAATGTGGTCTCCATTTCCTTCTGGTAATTTAAGCTTCTTTCGACCTTTATAGCTACTTTTCAGCTTTTTTCAGATAATTCCACCTTTTTGTGCTCGTTTCTGCTTCTTTCAGCGAACGTTCTTTCTGCTTTCTTATACTAATTTAAGCTTATTCTACCTTTTCAGCTACCTTTTTTTCATCAGTGTTTAGCTAATTTCGACTGTTTTCAGATAAATCAAGTTTTTCTTGGTACTGTAATTTCTGCTTCTTTCAGCTTAACTAACTTATTTATGCTTATTTCAGCTTGTTATGCTCCTTTCAGCCTTTTCTGCTATTTCAGCTACTTTTTAGCAGTTTTATGCTAATTTTAGCTTTTTCAGCTATTTCCACATTTTTTAAAGCTAATTTCAGCTCTTTCCATTTCCTTCTGGTAGTTTAAGCTTCTTTCAGCTACTTCTGTGCTATTTGCTAATTTCAGCCTTTTTAGCTGAAATAGCTAATTTCCTATTTTTGTGGTCATTTCTGCTTATTTAAACCTAATTAAGCAATTATGTATTCCTTCTGCTTTCTTCTGCTAATTTACGCTTGTTCTTCCATTTCAGCTACTTTTCAGCATGTTTTTTTAGCAAATTTCAGCTGTTTTTTTTTTAGGAAGTTCTTCTGCAATAAGCACTCGCACTGCATTTTAGCAGGAAATGCAATTTCTCTAGTTTTTAACTTAACTTTACAAATGACCGTTGACATTTAACGACACAAGTGGTCCGATAGTTGTTTATGTGCAGAGATCGAGTTCGAAAAACTGATCATGATCCAGAGGCGCGTTGTAAACGGTCTTTGGGCTCTGAAATAAGAGGTTTAGACAGAACATCAGGTGGTCAGAGACTGTGCTACAACACCGAGGCGCTCGTGGGTTTTACTCCACCTGCAAATCGGTTCTGGATCCTCGGCCTCCGTTTAAAACCAGACACCCTAGAATCCAGTGTGAACCCTGATTAAATGACGACACGGGGGCTGGCGGGAGAGAGCGTCGCAGAAACGAGCGCAGACGGAAAACGGACAAATTACAGAAGTTGTTTCAAACGTTAGACGACAGCTCTTTGGGCCTGCGGGTGTTTAAAGGGTAGGTCAATGTGACGCCAACACTAAAGGTTTGGAAGACGTTTATTCTGACGTCTCAGGACATTTTTAAAACTGTGAGGGTGAAACATTCATCTTCTTACTTTGCAGTTTGGGTCTTAAACAGATTTCTGTCCTGTTTCTGTATTTGGACTAATTTCCTTTTACAGCTCAGGCTAATTTATATTGCTTCTTATCGGAAAGTTTTTCAGCTTAATGATAAATGAACAGTCTGGCAGCACGAGGGCTCAGTGGTTAGCCCTGTTGCCTCACAGCAAGAAGGTCCTGGGTTCAATCCCCAGTTTGGACCTGGGCTCTTGTTGTGTAGATTTTCTCCAGTTTCGATTCAGTTCATTTATAAAGTGCCAAGTCACAGCAGAAGCCATCTCGGCACTGAACAGGAACATTCGTATATAAAAATAATTTTATAATTTAGAAAATGCAAACAATTTAAAAATTAAATGGAGGAATTACTTGTTCTGTAAAAACGCAGCTGAAACACTGAGCGCTGAACTTAGCTGAAGGAGCTGATGAAAGCTGAAAGAAGCCGAACGCTTGTTTAAAGTAGCTAAAAGTAGCAGGGTTTAGTTTGAGTTGTGCAGAATAAAAGCTTCACGTGTTCACTCCTCTTCACACGAGACGTGATACAACTCATGTGTATTTGTCGGTGTTTTGACAGGTTCAAGGAGGACCCGTCGGCAGAGGGCGCCCCGCCCGAACAGGGCAGCAGGAGAGGCGAGTAAACGCACACACACGGCGCCGTTGCTCGGCTACACGACCGCGTTTGACCTTCGATCGGCTTCGATTCAACAACTCGGCTGCTCGACGTCCTCTCGTTACTCACATCCTCCTCCCGATAATTAAGCCGCTTAAATAAACGCCCGCTGGATTTCCCCAGAGTCCGAACGGACCTCGGCTCTGAGCTGCGCTGGTTCTGTTGTCACAGATAATCACCTTGCGTCTCTTTGAGACGATTCACCTTCAGCACCAAAAACCAACAACAACAAACAAAGTTTATTTCAGAGAATTGGTGTTTCCATTACTGTTCAGAAGAACCGGTTCTGAAACGCTGGTTTATTAACATCGTGTCTGTTTACTGCTTTTTTTTTACCTTTTCAACTCAAACACTGAAGTTAAACCGCAAATTATAAAAACTACAAGCAAATGATATACAACGATATGTAGTGAAAGCATTATTTAAATATGAATTGTTTAAAAGATCTCAATCGCGTGTAGTTTAAGTGGCTTTGCAAACACTCGGGTGACCTTCATGACTTTCTGAACGAGTTGTTTCAGATGAGATTTCCTGAGAGGCTGTATTTATTATTTATTTATTTATGTATTTATTAGGATTTATGATCGTGCACCAATGTCAAACAAATCCAACGTTTTCAGTGGCTTCTCAGCGTTTTGTCTCTTTCACACTAAAGGTTTGATTTTATGTAGAAGTGGAAAACACTTAAAATATTTTATGATTTCTTGGCGTTTCTACTTTTATTTTTAAATTTAATCAACCTTAAAAGATGGGCAAAACGAGTAAATCTGAAAACCTGTGCCAGTGCGTTTTTCTTTTTTGCGCATTTAAAAAGGTGCGAATTTTCCCAAAGTTTAAAAACATAAATTTAATAAATGAAAAAAAAAATCAGTTTATTTGTACCAAATGTACAAAACATGTAGAGAGAACCAAGTAAAACAACAATTAAAGCTACCGCTTGTGGCTCATTATGATCACCGTGGTAACCGTGTCTCACTCCCTGACAGTCAGTTTATTGAGCGGCTGATTGAAAACTGAACGTTCTGACAGAGTGATCATCGGGTTCGTGGTCACCTCCCAGACTAATGCCCATCTCCCCCGATCGCTCAGTTTAGACGGCCGGCCAGCTCGAGGAAGAGCCTTGGTGGTTCCAAACGTCTTCCATCTGTGAATGGTGGGGGCCACTGGGCTCACTGGGACCTTCAGAGCAGCAGCTTCAGCTACCAGAGAGACCGACGTTGTTTTCTCACTTGGAAACAGAACAAATGTCGGATATTGTAGAGACTCACCGCCGCTGATCCTTCATCCACACTGCGAGGACGTTAGTTTACGACTCCGACATGTTTACATTTCACCGTGGTTCTCCCGTGTCGTCACTTTTCAAAGCTGCAATTTACGCAGTTTTTATCTTTGTGAAGCGTTGAGCTCTCACACTTTTGAGGACTTGGGTCGAACAGTTTTTGCTGCATCGGTCATGTGTAAAATTTACTTAGATTCCTTTGAAAACAGCCTCTGCTCTGCTTCCACCTCGCTCTGTTCAACTCGCGCTGCAGGTTTTATTTTTATTTTATAAACTTTATTCAGTCAGCCAGCATTGACAATGCTCTGCAGGTGAACAAAACAGCTCCGCAGCGCCGTGAAAGACGCTTAATCGCGCGACACAACGAATCGATAATGACATTCGTTGCCAACACTTTTCATAATCGATTGTTATCAATTTTATCGATTAGTTGTTGCAGCCCAAGTAGAAACGTCTCCAGGATGATCAGTGGAAACAGCATCTGAGCTCAATTAGAGCTTCTTGACAAAGGTACTTGTGTTAGTTTTCTATTTTTAATAAATTTGCTAAGATCTCAAAAAACATTTTTTTTTCACATTACCTTAACGAGGTTAAACAGATTTAATACAATTTGGAAAACGGCTGTAACACAAAACGTGGAAACGGTGAAGCGCTGTGAATACGTTCTACAAACGTCGTCTCGTTCAACAGAGCCGCTCTTTTTATCACATTTTATTCAGAAAGAAGCTCCAGCAAGAACTTGTTGGTTAGACTTTACAGAGGTGTAGGAGAGGTTTTGTGCGACGTCAGCGAAATGTTTCTCTCCTGGTGGAGGTGTTTCTGTGAGTGAGACGTTAACTCGTGCCTCCTCCTGCAGAGCGGGAACGAAACGCTCGTACGAAGCCTCGAGGCGGGACCTCAGGTCAGACCGCAGGCATGGCACTGACACTTGTGTGGGTTTTTTTGTGTTTCTTTGCGGTGCACCAAAAAAAAACAACTAACCCAACAAAACTCAACTTTTACTCACCTTTCCAACAAATCAATCCTCTTATTTGTAAAAACATATTTAACACGAGCTTATGTAGTTTAATGTTGTGAATGTATGAAAAGTCTTCCTAAACAATTAAACAATTCCAGCTTGCTATTTATTTATTTTTTTGCAGTAACTGATTTATTAATGTATTTATTTTGCGTACTGTTTCCATGAAGTTACATAACCCTTTAGGAAATTAAAACTGTTGCTCTGCATCTGTGCCTCTTGCTTGTTGAAGCTCACAAATCTTTATATATTTTATCTGCATTAAAATCACATTAAATCATTTTGCAGATGATTTTATTCAAAGCAACATAAAAGTAAAACAAACCAGTCGGTGACTCGTCGCATCGAACCGAGGCGTCAGTAAAGAGGTGGAATGTAGAGAACAGTTTGCCTTCATTGGATTTTGTCAAAAGGGGATTAAGAAATACTTGATATATTTTCCGGCATATAAGTTGCATCAGTCAAAAAAAGCATCACGAAGAGGAAAATAACATATATAAATATAATTTTTTTTTATTTTTTAAATTTATTAATTTCATTAAAAACAAAATAACTATATACAATAGAAAACAAACAAAAAAATATATATATATACAATCAAAAAATAAAATGAAAGGCAGCAGAAGAAAAATAAATCTTATATCTGCCCCTTTTTTCCCAGAATATATTCAAACAAAAGTAATATATCCATATGCATCCATACAGGCATACAGATTTTTTTTTTTTTTTTTACAAATAGGATGGTAAAAAAAGTAACAAAAACATCTAGATTCTAAGGCGAATGTAGAAAACTAAAAACAGGAACATGTCTGCATTGGTCCCTGCCAGGAGTCCAACAGATTCTTAAAGCCACTTAGAGAGGTCAAGGTCGAGAGCTTCAAATCTTTTTGTAAGATATTCCAGGAAACAGGAGCAGAGTAGGAGAAGGCCCTTTTGCCTAGTTCAGTCCTCACTGAGGGAACACTGCAGGTAATAATGTCCTGAGAGCGCACGCTGTAGCTGCACTCACGCAGAGACATGTAGGAGGAGATGTATGAAGGCAGCAGACCAAGAAGTGATTTAAAGATGAAAATGTACCAGTGAGAGAGTGTGTGTGAAGTTAATGATGTCCAGTTAACCAGTGAATACTGGGTACAGTGGTGGGTACGATAATCACAGCCAGTTATGAATCTTAGTGCACCATGATAGACAGCATCCAACATCTGCAGGGTTCTTGTAGGAGCGTTCATGTAAATAATGTCACCGTAATCAATTGAGGGAAGGAAAGTCACAGATACAAGGCGTTTTCTAACATTCAGGGTTAGACAGGATCTGTTTCTGAAAAAGAAACCCAGTTTAACTTTCAGTTTCTTTACCAAGTTTTCCACATGGAGCTTAAAAGAGAGATGTGAGTCGACCAAGATACCCAAATATTTATAGGAATCAACAAACTCATTGGGGACACGATTTGAGGATGAAATCAGAGGAAGAACTGCTGGGACCGACTTCCTGTTTGAAAAAAGCATCCCTTTGGTTTTGTCGGCATTTAGGACAAGTTTGAGGCGAAACAAATCTGTCTGGATGATGTTGAATGCAGATTTCAAAAGCTGGAAAGCCTTATCAACAGTTTTAGCTCAACAATAAACAACTGTGTCATCAGCATAGAAATGTATGGATGCATTAGGGATGTTTTTACCTACATTATGTATGTAGAATGTAAAGAGGGTGGGTCCTAAGGCTGAGCCTTGTGGTACACCATTGTTGACTGTTAAATAACTGGAGGAAGTACCATTATGTTGAACACATTGCCTCCGGTCTGAGAGATAGTTAGAGAACCAACCAATGGTGTGTTCTGAGAAACCGATTTCTGAGAGTTTATGACACAAGATGTTCTGATCCACAGTGTCAAAAGCTTTAGACAGGTCTAAGACAAATGCAGCACAATAATCCTTAGCATCCAGTGCTTCAACAACATCATTAAGAACCTTCAGTGAAGCAGTGGTTGTGCTGTGTTGTTTCCTGAAACCAGATTGATGTGGAGGTAAGATGTTAAATGAGTCCAGGTCATTTTTGATTTGAGAGTTTTATCAGTTTTTCTAGAACCTTGGCTAAAATGCAGAGTTTAGAGATTGGTCGATAGTTGTTCAGTGAGGGGGGGGGGGGGTGTCACCTCCCTTCAGCAAAGGAAGAACAAAAGCTGTTTTCCAAGCATCTGGGATGGAGTTTTGTCTTATGGAGAGATTGAAGATGTGGGTCACAGGGACTGTGATGATATGAGCAGCCAGCCTTAAGAAATAAGGTGGAAGTTCATCTGGACCTGCAGATTTTTTAGGATCAAGATCTTTTAACAGTTTATTGACCTCACTGACTGAGAACGGAGAAAAAGAGAAGCTGTGATTAACTGAGGATTGACTTGTAGGAGGGATTTGATTTGTAGAAGTTTGGTTATTAAGTGAAGTGGCAGATTTTCCATTAGTAACCGTGTCAAATAAAGAACTAGAAGCAACAAAATGTTTGTTGAAACAGTTCAATTATTTGTTTGCTCGACGTTATAGCATAGGTGTGTCTCAGTTTAACTTTTCTTTAATAAATGAACTTTAATGGTCAAAACGGCTTCATTTCGCCTAAAAAGTATTTTACGTTTAAAATAACATATTGGGGGGCCAGAGAAGATGTCAGTGAGGACCACATTTGGCCCCTGGACCTTGAGTTTGACATATATAGGCTAGATGATCTAAACTTCTTTTAAGGATTATCGAAGTTTAATTTGGAGTCATTGACATTTCCTTTGTGTCTCTAACAGACGACAACAAGCGACCTCCTAAGACCCCAACGTTTGGAGACTTCCTGTCCCAGGGCAGGACCCAGGGGCCCCGAGGGGACCGGAGCAGAGGGAGGGGCCGAGGACAGAAACAGAACTACAGGTGAGTCCGGGTTCTACTGTGAGACAGAAAGAGTTTGAGAATATCCTTCTGGACTTAAAGTAGGCTTTTAAGATTTTTAAATTTGTTACTTAACATAAAAAAAGACAAACTAATGCCTGTGGTCCTTATTTTTTTAGGTTAGAACCATCATAGTTTAAAAACGAGTTCAAATCAGTTTCTTTAATGAGACTTTGCCTTGAAATGATTAAATGTTTTTAATTTAGGGACTTGTTTTATGTTTCTCTCTTTGTGAGCGCAGGTGAGTCCCGTCTTGTTTTTATCTCTCTGAGCTGCAACTGTTGGAGCAAAAATTTCAAGAAAAGGCACAAATTTTAATTTGCAGATTTGATACGACTAAAGAGCCGTGCAGCTAATTTTTGAGAACCATTGTCCCTTTTTGTGTCCAAGGTGTGTAAAACAAAACCACAAACACTACAATGTACATTTTATTATACAAGTATGAACAACGCATCCATCATCAAGTCACAAACAAAAACAAAGAAGATAAAGAAATAGGGATGCACCGATCCACTTTTTCCACTACCGATACCAATGCCCGGGGTTTAGTATCGATCCGATATAAAAAAAAAACCCGATTAAAAACAACATAACAGTGCTGAATTAACTTAAAACATTTTTTAAATGCAGACATAAATGTACTGGATTACAAATTTATTGAAAACTTTGCACCAGTACAGCACTAGCTTCACAAGCTTGGTCAAACATGTAAAAACAACACGACTTTAATTTGTTCAGTCAGTGCAATTGTGACTATACTGTAACATCCAGTGTAAAATAAATAATAATAAAGATACTGAAACTGACCAAAACAATAGGTTGACAACTTTGGTCAAACGTGAAAAAATAAACTCCAACAAACCTTTCAAATGGTTCAAGAATTCTAAATATAATGTAAAACAAAGGAGCTGAAATGAGAGGAAAAAACAATAACTTTGCTAGCTTGGCTGGCAGATATTTAAAATAAACAGCAATCAACTCGTGTCCTTATGGATCGGTCACATTGTTACAATATCCGGTCAAGAATTTTTCGCCGATATCGATGCTAATATCGGATCAGTGCGTCTCTAAGAAATACAACTCTAGTACTCTGGAATAACAAAACCTTCACTGAGGAGGGTTTGAGTTGTTACACAATTTAATTTTACTTAGAGCGAGCCTCTACAGCTCGTGCCTGGAAATTTGCGAACCTCTTGAAATATCTGGAAACTCCGTCCAGAACTTGATTTTCAGTTTGTGGCCAACAGTCGCAGCTCAGTGAGATACAACTTTTTGTTCTTTAACAATGATGCTGAACCTTCTGCTAATCTGAAATGATGACAGCATGCATGACAACCGCTGGGAGGGAGAAAAAGAGGAGGAGGAGAAGGAAAAGGAGGACGAATCAAAGAAGGAGGTGAAGACTAAAACGAAGAAGAAGGAGGAGGAGGAAAAACCCAAACCTCCAACACCAGAGAAGGTAAACAGTCTTCATTTGGATTTAAACTGGTAATAAAGGAGAAGTTAAAGATATCCTGATAATTAAATGAAATAGTATTTCATGTACGGGCAGGTTATACTGACAAACCCACAGGGATTTTGTAAAGTTTAGTCATGCAGCGCTGATACATTTTGAGTTTTAAAGCAAAAAAATCTAAAACTGCAACAGAACTCATCAGTCAAATCTGGATTTAACAACTAAACAAAAAAATTAACGCTGAAAATTAATATTTTAAAGGTTTTACTCCCTTACAGTATTTTCATTGATGTCACTGTTTATCCTCCATACCATACCATATACCATATACCGTACCATACCATATACCTTATCATACCATATACCGTACCATATACCGTACCATATCATACCATATCATATCATACCATACCATATCATACCATATACCATACCATATCATACCATATACCGTACCATATCATACCATATCATATCATACCATACCATATCATACCATATACCATACCATATCATACCATACCATACCATACCATATACAGTACTGTACCATATCATACCATACCATATCATATCATACCATATACCATACCATACCATATCATACCATATACCATACCATATACCGTACCATACCATATACCGTACCATATCATACCATACCATATCATATCATACCATATACCATACCACATCATACCATATACCGTACCATATCATACCATATACCGTACCATATCATACCATACCATATCATACCATACCATATCATACCATATACCGTACCATATCATACCATACCATATCATATCATACCATATACCGTACTATATCATACCATACCATATCATACCATATACCGTACCATATCATACCATACCATATCATATCATACCATATACCATACCATATCATACCATATACCGTACTATATCATACCATACCATATCATACCATATACTGTACCATATCATACCATACCATATCATATCATACCATATACCATACCATACCATATACCGTACCATATCATACCATATACCGTACCATATCATACCATATACCGTACCATATCATACCATACCATATCATACCATACCATATCATATCATACCATATACCATACCATATACCGTACCATACCATATACCATACCATATACCAGGGGTCACCAACCTTTTTGAGACTTGAGAGCTGCTTCAGTGGAACGGAGAGACACGAAGGGCTACTTGTTTGATACAAACAAATTTGCATGGCTCACCTTTAATTATAGTATTAATAAAAATATATGTACATGTGAATATTTGACTGCTTGATCACATCTGATCTGATCTGTATTATTAAAAACTCCCTACAGTGATTATCAGTAAAGATTTAGCTTAGTAAATATGATCAGTTATTATTGATAATTAGTGATCAGAACTCTCAACTGAGAACTTCAGTCCTCAGTTTGAATCCCTTTTTGATTCTTCTGTGCAACTGTAAATTGTTCCTAGCTGTGACTGGGAGTGTGGATGGTTGTTTGTCTCTTTGTCTGTCTCTGGGACAGACTGGAGACCTGTCCTGGCTGTCTCTGGGACAGACTGGAGACCTGTCCTGGGTGTCTCTGGGACAGACTGGAGACCTGTCCTGGCTGTCCCCTGCCTTCACCCAAAAGCAGCGGAGATTGGCTCCAGTCCCAAACAAAGGGGACAAAACGGATGATTTACTGCAGCAGAAAACTGATATTTAAACATAAATTACCATTTCTTTTATGTTAATCTCAGTCAGTAACATTTGAAAATCAGTGTATTTTATAAATATTTTATTAACTGTTTTCTATGTATTAACATATTTATAACATTCATTCAAAATAGGCCTTTTACTCTCAACAACTTCTGTACATTTTTAATAACCTATTAACAATAAAATATTCCAGTCAAGCCCTGTTTGCACTAACTGTTGTGTTTGTAACACTTCGGAAGAACTCTTAACTTGTAGATACAAATTATCAGTAATGTAAAAAACTGACGTTTTTAAGTGAATCATAAGACATTAGTAATGGTCCTCAGATCTGCAGCATTTTTAATAGTAATGATAATACTTTATTTATAAAGCCCTTTAAAATAACCACAGCTGCAACAAAGTGCTGTACATATAAAATCATTTTAACTAATCATTGCATCTTTTACTCTTTTTAAAGAAAGACCTCATCTGAAAATGCCTCGTGAAAATCGTCTGGCGTTTGTTCAAAGCTTTAACTCTGACATTCTTCTGCCTGTTGTGAGCCACCAGGGGGCTAGTTAGCATTGAAGCTAACATGTTAGCTGGTGAAGGGTCGCTCCATGTTGTTTTGCTGTCTCCACAGCCCACTAATGAGACACGGACACACTTGTCTTTCACAACTGTAAAAATACCTCTTCCTCCCAGTCACTGTGAACAAATGTTTTCTTATGTTTTTCTGCCATTTTAACCTCTTTGAGGTAAAACTAGCTTGTAGCTACATCGCTGCAGAGATGGGAGTGGTCTATGCATGATTCTGAACTTTGACCCCAGACAAGATTGCTAAAATGTATACGTAAAACTATTTCTTTTTAAGTTTTGTATTAATCATTTTCATTTCAAATATACATCCTTGCAAATGTTATTTCTTAAATTTAAAAATATAGTTAATGACGATTTTTAGGTGGTGCTCCTTGATCATGAGTGCTATTTTTAGAACATGCCCCGTGGGCAACTCATGTGGTCCCTGTGGGCTACCAGGTGCCCGCAGGCACCGCGTTGGTGACCCCTGCCATATACCATATACCATATACTATATACCGTACATGTCATGTCATATCATATACCATTCCACTTTATTTATAAAGCAGTTAAAAACAGCAACAAGGCCAACCAAAGTGCTGTACAGTAAAAACAAACAAGTGAAGGACACAGGATAAAATACGTAGATCCAAATAGTAAAGATAAGAACTAAATGACTGACTGACATGACATGTCAATGACATGATTCATGTTTGTCGTTTCCCACATGCAGGAGGAGAATGAAGACGAAGAGGATGAAGATGACGACGAATGGGAGGACGCCAGCAATGACGAGGAAGACGAAGAAGTTGTGGAGGAGAGGGTCGACTCGGGACGGGACTCCAGGGGCGGCGAGAAGAAAGACACCGGGAAAGAGAAACCCAGTTCGGCTGCATCTCTCAAACACCACGTACGAACGACCTTGGCAGGAAGCCCCAAAGAGCAGCGGACGCCTAAGCCGAAGGTTCGCATCCCGCCGCCTCCTGCAGCTCAGGAGGCGTCAGAAGGAGGCAAACCCCTCAGCCCCTTCTACCCGCTGGAAGGCCACCACCCTGTGTCCGACTGGGGGGAGGAGATGGAGCTGCAGTCACCTCGGAGCAGCGTGGGAGGCGAGAGCCCGATGAAACCATCGAGCACCGAATCCAGCCCCCCTCAGAAGAAGGAGGAAGAGGAGAGCCAAGCTGGTGGCTTCAGTGAACCTGCTGAGCTGCATAAAGAACAAACAGGTTGGAAACTCAAACTCTTTTAAGTTATTTATGTTTTAGAGCTGCAAACATTCTTCTTACTACGCTCCGTACGTGAAGAGAAACTGTTAGATGTCTGAAAAGTGCGAAGGCTGACCCTCCAGAGAGGAGCTGATCTGCAGCTTACTGGAAGGGGTTTTGGTACTGGGGTTGTAAAGTCAGTGTCTTACCTGCAGCAGACAGCAGTCAGAGAGATTTCACTTTAAAGAATCGCGAAGAAATTCTCACGGAGGACACAAACGACCAGTTTCCCAGCAGTTAGACCAAACGTTACATTAGTTGTCCTGACTCTGTAACGCTCCCAGCTCCATTGAACTGAACTCTTATCGCACATCGTCTGTACCTGCGTTCTAAGAACTGGAGTTACACATGAGGTACACACGAGGTACACATGAGGTACACACGAGGTACACACGAGGTACACATGAGGTACACATGAGGTACACATGAGGACATTTTCCAGGTTGTCCAGCAACAACTTCCTGTCAGAATCTGGTTGTTCACCAAAAGTTATGGTTGTCTTCAGCCTTTACAATAAAGAAGGAAAAACATCTCAATAGAGATGTACTTTAATAAATATACTGTGTATATATACAAAGTTTACTGCATACAGATGTTCTCAGTCGGCCATCTTGTGGACTGCTGGGAGTTTCGATTCTTTCAGGAGCTGCTGGAGTGGAACTTCCTTGTTCTTCCTCCTCTTCCTCCTCATCAGACTTTAGAAGAGAGACACTCGCAGCGTATTTAAGGAAGAGATTAAAGCAGAAAAAATATTTAGACTTTTTGTACACCTAGAGGTTACCCAACCCCAGAACTCTGCAGCAGGAACAGTCTCCTCTTCCATCATGAGGCACTCTCAGGCCTCTCTCTCTCTTTTTCTCTCTCTCCTTCTCCCCCCTCCCTCCCTTCTCCTCCCGGAGAGTTCGGTCACATGCGCAGGTTGCACATGTCTGCACGATGATGACGACGCTCATTTAATTTAATACAAAGTTAGATTTTAGATAGAAAAGTCCCGGGGAGGTCAGGAGGAGTTGATGGTGCATCAGTTCTGGCGTCTCCCTCGGCTGCAGTGAATGGGTCACGTGTGAAAATGTTTATTACATGTCATCACCGTGGTTAGGGCAGCGGGGTGTCCTACTTGTAAAACAGTCCAGGAAACACTGATCGGTGCTCTCACCTGTAGAGTCCGTCTCTGAGTCAGGAACACTGAGCTCACCTGCCGTGTATCAGCAGGCCCCGCCCCGCTCTATTCTGACTGGGTCCAACTGTGGCTCTGGTTCTGTCTATTGATTGAAACGGTGTCAGTTTAATCCCTGGATCATTAGATTGGATGACTTTAAAAAGACCAAAACATTTACATTTTTACAGATGACGTAAATCCGTCGCAGACCGAGAACTTTAATCCGTGTCTTTATCACGTGGTTGTCCAGCGGACAAACTCGAGACGAGGTCCAGTTGTCCAGGAGGAAAATGGTTCGTGTCGGACAAACGTAAACCGCTCAAGTTAGAGCTCTGGATTAGAGCTCTGGATTAGAGTGGCAGAATAATGAGCCGATCAACAGAGGGGCAGGTAACGGAGCACAAGGACGTGCAGCAATGCAGACATTGTTCTTTCTTTAGAGGAAAATTTCGACAACAAACAACAATCTCATTAAAAAGTGACCAAAAACGCTTTAAAAGTTTAAGGTGTTTTTGGGTCCTTCCATTTTGAAACTGTACTTTAGGAACCCCAAAGCAAACATTTTTTTAATGGGTTCCAAAGTGAAAAAGAAATGGCCGCCAAAGATGATGACATCATCGCCCCACCTCTAATCCAGGCTACGACCCAAAGGCGTCCTCCTCCTCGTCCTGTCGTGATTACATTTGAGCTTCACACTACTCGTTTCCAGTTTCTGATGCGATTTGGTGGCAGCGTTACGGCGCCACATACAGGTCCAGCCTCGATACTACAGGAAGTGGTTCTGCGTGGACCAAGACCTTTCTAGGAACTGGGTTTACGAGGATTAAAAGATCACTTTGTAAAATCTTTGTTTCCGTAGATGACGGAGAAAATTAGATTTTGGCCTCTGATGAGCTGTTAGTTTTTTTTTAAATTAAATTTATTCATTTTAAAATACAACACACACACAAAAAAAACAATAATGCAAACTAAGTTTATATAATATATACATAAAATGAAGGGTAGCAGAAGGAAGAAAAAAATGTTATTTTATCTGCCCCCTCTTACAATAATTCAAATCAAACAACAATCATCTGTAAGTACCTAAACAAACAAAAAAGAAAAAAAGAACAATTCACTATAATTTTCGAACTATAATGCAACATACATAACAGTATTTCATATATATTTTTGCAGAAGTCCATTTTTAATTATTTTCTTAAAAGTAATCGTTGTTTTTGCATACTTCACTTCAGTTTTCAGGGCAGCACGGTGGCGCAACTGGTAGAGCTGCTGCCTCTCAGCGAGCAGGTCCCTGGTTCAAACCCCGGTCCAGGAGCCTTCTGGGTGGAGTTTGCATGTTCTCTCCGTGCATGCGTGGGTTTTCTCCGGGCACTCCGGTTTCCTCCCACAGACCAAAAACATGCATGTTAGGCTGATTGGTAACTCTAAATTGTCCCTAGGTGTGAATGGTTGTTTGTCTCTATGTGGCCCTGTGATGGACTTGCGACCCGTCCAGGGTGTACCCCGCCCCTCGCACAGTGATTGCTGGACATGGGCACCAGCGACCCCCGTGACCCAAAATGGAATAAACGGGTAAAGATAATGGATGGATGGATGGACTTCAGTTTTCAAAGTTTTCAGTTTGATTGATTAGATTGATTTTATTGATTAGTTTGACTCCACGAGAACTTCTTGTCCTGATTCTTCAAACTGACTGCTGCTGCTGCAGGTGATATCCTAAAGCCTCCAGTATACTCGGGCGTACGTCAGTCCGCAGAGGTCCACGTGTACTGGATTACAGTCGAAGCGGATGCCCGCTGGACATGTCCACTCAAAGATCAATTTTTACGACCGCGTACATGTACTTGGTGTCGAACAATAAACTGCCCGGCAACAGACTGTTTTGTACGTGACACCAATGTATTAAATTCCCCGTCTTCATCCCTGATCTGATTTAATGGACTTTTATTTTGTTTTTTGCCAAGAGGCAAGTGATCACTTCCTCCTTCTTTGTTGACGCCATGACTGAAATGGTGAGAAATGAAGGAATTTGTCATGAGCGAATTAAAATCAGGTCCAGCGTGGCTGCGGGAGGGTCTGGAGATTTCCTGGTGGGCAGGTCTGATGTGTGGGCTGCAGGGCCAGTGCTCCCTTTTTTTTTTTTTTTTACTTTTTATTAACAACATATAAACACAAAACACTGCTGCGGCTGGGGCTGCCAGCTCTCTTTTTTTTTTTTTGTCGACCTGTCAATCAATCCGGTAGGTGTGTCAGTAAATGACCGATCGACAAACTCAATTTGTCCCGAAGGTGAACGTCCCTTGTCTGCGGAGCTGGTCTGCAGCCGCTCAGGGTGGCTGCTTAAGTATGAAGTCTTAACCCTCGGCGGACAGTGCGCGTCAAGTCCGCGCGGAAAAAGGTCCAGAGCCTTAACTGCTCACACCTGCTCCAAAAGGTCCTGTAATAAAATATAAAAACAACTCTTTTAAAAAATAAGTGAGTCTTAGTTCACTTTATCTTCCTCACCATTTCTCTCTCCTGGCTTTCGTCTTCAGAAAGATTTTGATTGTTGTGATGAAGCTTTCCTCCTCTGCCTCGTCTCTTTTGTTCTGATTGATTAATTGTCTCCTTCCTCACACCCTTCTTTCCTGCCTCCTCATCCTCTCTCCATCCTTTCCTCCCGTCTTCATTTTTCCCGTCGCCGTCTTTTTTGTTCAGATATTTCTTCAGCTCCAATAAACACCCAGCAGACGGTCACAAAATCGGAGCCAGAAGTGGTCACCTTCCCTGATGCGCTCCCTTCTAACCCCGCCCCATCTGTGGTTTTTGACCCCACCTCGTCTGAGGCTTCTGACCCCGCCCCATCTGAGGTTTCTGACCCCGCCCCATCTGTTTCTAAC